TGGGTGAAGGGTCTGCCTTCAGCTCGGGTCATCATTCCAGGATCCTGGGATTGAGCCCCATGTCGGGGTCCCTGCTCAGCCAGGAGTCTGCTTCTCCCTCTGCCTCTCCCCCTGCTTGTGCTCTCTCTCTCTCAAATAAATAAATTCTTAAAAAAAAAATAAATCTAATTTAACCTATTAGAATCTAAACGTATTTATTAAAAAAGTATCCCCCATATTTATGGAACCCTGTCCTCTTTCTTCCAGCCTAACTGAAATGTTAGCTCTGTGAATTCTTTGGTTTCTCCAGTCAGGTCCAATGCCTCTTTCCTGTGGACTCAACCTTAGTTCATACACTATTTGCATATTGTACTACAACTTGTATTATTAGACTCAGTAATCATTGGCTCAATCAAAGAGTAAATGCTGCTTTTATCAGTTTTTCTTTACATTTCTTTAAATTGAAGAATTTAATTTTTCTTTTAATTAGTCCTTCAGGGTCAGAGATCGAAAGCCAACATTGCTGAGTTTGTTCCCTGACAAAAGCTCTCCATGGTAGTTTTTCTCTTTGTGGAATTTATACTGAGGAACAGATTTCCCAGTAGGCGGCGCACATGTACCACTTTTATTTCAAAAACAGTCCTAGTATGAAAAAAATTGAGTAATTTAAAAATAAGCGTTCTTGGATCTATCTGTTCTTTGATTTTCTATTTATCTTTTCTTATGACAATTTTTAAAGGTTACATTTATTTTGTAAAGAGAATGGAAGTTTCCTAAATGGAAGGAAGCAAAGAAAAAAAGTACATTTTTTGTCGTCATCCTTGGGAGCTAATGCAAACAAAGGTAGCATAATTAAAGCATGTATATATCTAAAAGAAAACCAAGCTCACAATTCACTTTTAAGCTGAGGAATTCTTTTACACCATGAATGACACTTGGTTTTAGGCATTATTCTACACTCAGTTCATTTGACAAATGTTTATTGAACACCTAACACATGGAAGAAATAAGAAAATATCCTTGTCTTTGGGGAGTCCACAGTTTAATGGGAGGATAGTCAGGTAAATATAAAGCATATTTGGGGGCGCCTGGGTGGCTCAGGGGGTTAAGCCTCTGCCTTTGGCTCAGGTCATGATCTCAGGGTCCATGGATAGAGCCCCACATGGGGCTCTCTGCTCAGCAGGGAGCCTGCTTCCGGCAACCCCCGCCCCCCCCCCCCCCCCCCGCCTACTCGTGATCTCTCAATAAATAATAAATAAATAAATAAATAAATAAATAAATAAGATCTAAAGCATATTGCACTGGTGGATGCTGGAATAAAGATAGGGGAAAAAATGCTTCAGGAATCTAGAAAGGATGAAACTAGCTATGGTAAAAGGGGTCCCAGAGAGAGGGGCATTCCTGGTTCCAGCTTAGCTAGCTGCTCTTATCCCAACTGAGCCTCCCCAATGTCTGTTGACAGATTTCAGTCATTGTCATGAGGATGGGTGTTCTGAATTCTGTCCCTGTGCTACTGCCCCACAGCCCAACTGGTAGTCATAGGGTAGGGTAGTATTTGATTATTGGCATCAAGGGACACCCTGGTGAATAGTTTAGTTGAGTGAGGCAATAGGGCATTAAAGTGAGAAGCTGAAAAACTTTGGGAAAGTAAGAGTAACTCTGTAGGAAGTCAGCAGCATTGGACATTGGAAATTACTGGAACCCCAGTCAGCATGACATTAGTATGCTTAACTGACCGATGAGTTGCCAGTGGGTGCTATAACTCAGAAAGCTTTATTTTACTTGTGTTTCTTAAAGTAAATCTAGATTGCCAGAATATGCTGGTTTTAGGGGGAAAAACTCTCTTTAAGTTTATATCCTATGGATGGGTATGTGTGTGTCTGCATAGATATGATTAAGCCTATGCTTTGGATGAGCTATGAGTACCTAGAGGGAGGAAGAGCTTATAAAAAGACGGTAATTCCTGTTGTAGGACTCAGCAGCTCTTTTCTACTACCCCAGAGCAGTTTTGAGAGAGGGAGATTATCAGTTGGAAGCATCAGAAAGCTGTAGTCTCAAGTACCCTCACTGACAATTTTATGAGACCGTTGTTATAGGAAATGAGAGTCTAAACAAGGTTTCAAACTTCTGAAAGCAGCAGAGTTATTTTTTAAATGAAAGAAATAGAAGGGATGAAAACGAACAACACGATTTGATTTAAATGCCAACACTTCTCTTATTCTCTCCAGTGTAACTGCCAAAGAGTAGGTGGGCAGGGGAGGGTGAAAGCAGCAACACCTTGGTATGGATTTTACACACTAGGAAACCAAGGACAAAACAAATAACAAATTTAGGTGAGTGTTTAGGGATTTTGTGGATATTTTTTTAAAGCTCTACCTTTAGCTTTTCATTACAAGAAAATTATGGAAATGTATACATGAGATTTTTAGCGTTTTTATGAAGAGAGGATTATTTGTTAGTCAAGGTTAGAGAGAAACAAAGAATTCCAGGTAGTTCTGTCAGGTTCTCGAAATAATGATAGATGAAATTTAAACTCAACATAAGCAAGGTAATGTTGCAGAAGCTGAGATTTTCAATAACTATGTTTATGCATTGTGACAGCTTATAAATTAAAAACCTAGCAACTCTAAGGAAATATACCCAGCCATCACCCAGGATAATGTAATAGAGGTGACAGCTCTATAAAAAGGGGAGTTTGGACCTGATGCTGTATAGAAAATGGAAGAGGAAGTTAATTTGAAAGTAGTACTTTACTGATTATCTGGCATCCTACAATGAAAAAATGAATGCTAAAAACGTCAGAAGCTGCTATGAAATAAGTAGGCCTGGTAAGAGCTGGTAGGAGTATAGGTGGCAAATTATATTAACTGTAGATTCAAATAATACAACTGTTACTTTTAAATTCTTCGTGTAATTCATTATTGTGGGCTATTGTTTGAGAGCCAAGACAATGTAATGTAAGTTGGCCTGATTATTCAGGGGGGAAAAGAGGAAAGTCAAGATAAGTTAAAATGATTAAAGAGTTAAAATAAGAAAAGTCAAACGTAGCTTGTGAAATTACCACCTTAGAGAATTTTCAAGAGTCCTTGAGACAATTCTAAACTCAAAACCGGAGAATTAAACCATTTCAGTGTAGTCGTATAAGATCTTGGCTCGGTCATTAAACGTCTCTCAACCTCTGTTCCCCTGTCTTGAAAGGTAAACAAATGGTTTCTTCGATGCCTTCCAGCACCAAACTAGTTTTCTTTTGTCTGAAATTATGTTTAATACTAACGTAAGTAAGATTGAAGACATTTCCTCATCCATTTTCTTAACTACTAAATGATACTGCTTTTTGGCCTATGTAACTTTCACTCTTCCTCTGACTCAATGTATTAATCTGCTTATCTCAGTGAGAGAGACCCTGAAATGGTCATAATGACCATTAGCCCACCATGTGGGTTTTGTTTTGTTTTGTTTTTTTATACTTAAAAATATTCTGTTTTTAAGTGTAGAGAGAAGAATATGGACATACTAATCAGATAAACCTCGGTTTGAAACCTAACTGTGCCTTTCCAGCTGAATGCAGTAGCAACTGTGTTTCCTTATCTGGAAAAATAGGACTAATATCCACCTTGAAGAATGAGAGTATTATTCAGCTCTCGGATCAATACATTTTGAGGTTTGTGTTCCCTTTCTTCCTAATTATAATCTGCTAGGGCCATTTAGAAAAGAAAACAGATTTGATTATTTTTAGAGTCTTTAAAGAAATCACTGCTGGTTTACAATAAAACCTTTATACAAAATGGAGTGAAGTAAGTGTCAAATAGTAAAAATCAGCCACTCTGACAGGGTTTGACTATCAAGGGGGTTTTAGGCAATAGGCACTAAGTCAACATACACCTCCAGGGTTCTTCTGCAGAACATTATAACCGGTCATTTCTTTGCTTATGGGCAAGATTTCCAGAATACCATGGGAAAATTAACCCTTATTTCAGTATATTAGGCTTCGAAGTCGGAATAGAAAAGCTCCCCGGATCTATTTGCAGAGCCCGAAAGGCCTGTTTCTAGACGCTGGAGGGTTAGTCACAATGGGTTTAAGCCCCGTGGTGGTCTCTTCCCCAGAGCCCCCAGCTCCTCCTGGGTGCCAAGACCTGAAGGCATCCCACCCTCTCCCTGATTTCTTCTGAGCTCCCACCCCCACCCCACTCGGCTGCTTCTCCTTTTCCATCTTCGCTTTCTCCCAGAAGTGGTCAAAATGGGAAACGGAAGTATCTATTTGTTGCTTGGTGTGGTGCTCGAAAAGGTTTTTTAATTAAGAAAAAAAAAAAAACCCTCTTCAGGTTCTTCATTTTGCAGTGAGTCCGAGCGTCCGCCGGTCCCCTTGTCCTCCCCCATCCAAGTGTCGTTCATTCTGTGAGGAGGCTCGAGTCTGTCGGAGGGGGTCTGCGCCTCCAGCCGCACAGAGGGATCTGGGAGCAAACCGGCTCGGGATCCCGAGAGGCGCGGGGAGCACCGCCCCCCACCCGGCGGGGAGGTGCGGGAGAGGCGGCGGCCTGGCCCAGCCGGGGAAGCCCGTCCCGGGAGCCGGAGGGGCGCCGGCAGCGGCGGCGGCGGCGGGGACGCGGCGCGGCTGCCGCAGGGGAGCGGCGGCGGCGGGCGCGAGGGGCGGGGCGCACTCCGCAACTTCTGCCGCTGCCTCCCGGGCGCGCTCGGCCGAGGCGCGCGGCGGCTGCGGGCTGCGGGGCGGCCAGCCGAGCGGCGCCCGCGGGCCCGTGAGCCGCGCGTAGCGGGCGTCCGTCTGTGCTGGGGGCGCCTCCCGCGGGGAGTCTCGGCGCGGCCGCGCTCCCGCGTGGTCCGCAGCGACTGGGGCCCCGGGACGTGCGGGGCCGCGGGGCCGAGCCGAGGCGCCCCCCAGCGGCCGGCGCGGGCCCCATGGCTGGGCCGGGCGGAGCGGAACCGGCGAGGTGAGGCCCCCGGGCCGGAGGCCGGAGCGCGTGGCGGGGGCGCCGGCTCCATGGGCAGCAGCGCACAGCGGCACGATGATGGACGTTAACAGCAGCGGCCGCCCGGACCTCTACGGGCACCTCCGCTCTTTGCTCCTGCCGGAGGTGGGGCGCGGGCTGCCGGACCTGAGCCCCGACGGCGCCGGCCCGGTCTCGGGCTCCTGGGCGCCGCACCTGCTGCGCGGGGTCCCAGAGGTGACGGCCAGCCCGGTGCCCACCTGGGACGCGCCGCCGGACAATGCCTCCGGCTGCGGGGAGCAGATCAACTATGGCAGAGCCGAGAAAGTTGTGATCGGCTCCATCCTGACGCTCATCACGCTGCTGACGATCGCAGGCAACTGCCTGGTGGTGATCTCGGTGTGCTTCGTCAAGAAGCTCCGGCAGCCCTCCAACTACCTGATCGTGTCCCTGGCGCTGGCCGACCTCTCGGTGGCCGTGGCGGTCATGCCCTTCGTCAGCGTCACCGACCTCATCGGGGGCAAGTGGATCTTTGGCCACTTCTTCTGCAACGTCTTCATCGCCATGGACGTCATGTGCTGCACGGCCTCGATCATGACCCTATGCGTGATCAGCATCGACAGGTAAGGGCCGGGCCGCCCCGTCCCGGGTCCGGCTGGGGATGTGCTGACCGCTCCACCGCTAGCGCTCGCCTTTCTTGGGAGGATCAGCCAGACACCTAGGCGGGATGAAGGGCTGCGCCGAAAACATCAGCCCCCACACATCAACCCTACACCAACCGAGCAACTTCAGTTAGAGCGGAGCCTATATGCACCTTGAAAAGAAGAGCCTGAAATGTTTTAGTGAGGGTTTTAAGACCAAAGTTTAAGTATTTTAAACATTAGCAGTTCCAGCAGGGGGTCCCTGGGCTTGGTTTTTAGAAGGAAAGGATCTGATCCTTTCTGAGCTTGACAGACCCTTGCTGTGAGTATTAAAGTGTCATTTCTTACTTTAAGAAATCAGTCGTTGAAAAGGCTCCTTGCTTCCCGATTGTGGGAGCTCCTCCCCAGGCCAGTGAGGGGACTGAGGAGGGTTCCAGAATTGGGGTTCTACATATCTAAACGTTGCACCCCTATCATTGCTGTTTCCAAATCTCATTCTCCTGGAAGTCTGATTTTAGCGTTCGGCAAAGCTGTCTGTATCCTGCAGCCCTGCTGACTGGAGCCTTACTCCCTGTCTGAATGGTTGGTTCTAGTCTTTCATCACATCCCTTGAGAATCTTCTCTTACGAACTCCCCAGTGGAGTAATTGCAACAGAGGCTGACCATCTGTCAGAGATATTGAGGGGAAAATTTCGGTAAAATTCTTGGGTGACAGATAGGGCTAGGAGACCCTGAGGTTTCTTCAGACTCTAGGATTACAGGATGCTGCAATGGAGCTAGTCTTTGGTCCCGGAAACACAGTGCAACTGACAACTTGAAGGATGGTCCCAATGTCCTTTGGCCACCTAATAACTCTGTTTCTCTTGAAAGTGAAATATTAAACCTTAGTGTTCACCCACGTAATTCTGCTGGTGTTTTAAAACCCGCACAGGACTGGTATCCTGTTGTGTTTAATGATACAGAGAAACGATTGCTTATTTTCTTTGTGGACCTATGGAACCTTTAAATGTATAAACCCTTCAGCATAGAAGAAATAATTGATGCCTCCACACTTAAAATGACAGTGCCTCAAAGGATGGTGTAGCAGGAAGCTGAAATTTTCTTCCTTTTCCTCCCTGTAAACACTGCTATTTGTGGTTTGTTGATGTTTAATATGTTGTCCTATTTTACTGCTTGACCAGGGTTTATAATTACTGAATAAAGGGAATGATAGGAAAGGGGATATTTTCAAGGAAAAAATATATTGTAGCTGCATTTAAAGATCTAGGTTATTTTTAAAGAATTGATCCTGCCATTTCATATATCATGTCAGGTTGGAGCTTCTGAGAGCAAACAAGGAATTATTTTTAAGAGTAGTGCACGGATGGCATATACGAGAATATTAGCTCCAAACTTGACAGCTGAAGTTCTGAATTACTGTAGTGAAGAATGACAAAAACATATGCACTCACAGTCTGGCTGTGGCAACAGGAAATATGAGCATGCACTCAATATACATAGTGAGTATATAAATGAATTGTAAGCATAAAAATTGAACTGCTAAGCCAACCAAATCGGCGCTTCTTGCATGAATGGAGTCCTTTTAAATGGAACTTGGTGTACTACAACACATGCCAATTTATGGTGCAAGAAATGCATTTATAATTTTTCTTCCTTTCGTAATTGATTAGTGATATGTAAACAGCACAGTATACTGACTCATCTCCTAACACAGGCGGTGCTTCTGTCCTGCTGGGCGCATTCAGGTTTGGCTTGGGACCACCCTGAGATTCCTGTATATGAGCTAAAGGCTTGTCACTCAGGGTACACATGTGACTTACCAACAAGCAGCAGGAATGTTTCCATGACAGAGGTTAATTCTTCTTGGCAAGAGCTTCCGGTTTCTTTATCCAATATATCCTTACGATTGTCACAAATTGTGGTAATATAAGGATATAGACTCTATCTCTTTATTTCCTATGAGAATTGCTCCATTGGTGAATTCTGCTTCAAAATTATTTTGGAGGATGAACATAGGTTTTATTTTTTTTTCTGATAAAATGAAGAGCTGATAACACTGGAAGATGCAGATTGCTTTTCTTCCAAGAACACACAAAAATAAAAATAAGGAAAAGGAAAATGCTTTCGATATCTAAGGTGAATTATTTCTGAAGAGACTGTTTTTTTCAGTTCCATTGTAGACTATGACCAATGACATACAGATGTACTAAGAAAATATGAAACATTTTAATCTTCACTTATTCATCCCCTCTTGAGTACAAGGTTAGGTTACAGTGTGCTTTGTGAAGTATAATCAAGGATGAATAATAGTATTCCTGCTTTTGAGTATTGTGGGAGCTTCATTATCTTTCTACTACCAAACAATCTTTCTTACATCTTTTCTTTACATCTTTCTTACATCTGTTCCCTTTTTACTTCTGCCCAGTTAAAGGGCGAAAAGACGTTGTGTCCTGGGAAAGACCAAACCACCTACGCTTCACATCCCATCCCCTCTTATCTCAAGGATTTTGCTCCTTCCTTGATCCTACTTCTCTTCTTTGTCTTCAGTGTTTCCTCTCAACTGGGTCAAGCTTGATCTTTTATTTTCCTTTGGCCTTACTTCTCCAGTTACTGCTCCACTTCCCAGTTAAGCCGCTCAAAGAACTGTGCCCACAAGCTGTCTTTATGTCCTTCCTCCTTGGGTAGATGAGTTTGGCACTATCAGGTCTACTGGAGTATTTGAACTGGCCTTGTTGGTTTCTTTTCTGTCAAGTCCATTGCCAATGAAGTAGCTAGAATGGTCTCTTAAAAATTTTTGTTTTAAGTGAGATAACATTTATCTATAGCAAAATGCACAGATATTAAATGCATAGCTTGATGTGTTTGACGAATGTCTATACCCAATATTCCAATATTCCTATCAGGATATAGCATATTTTTATAATTTTAGAAAGTTGCCTTGTGCCTCTTTCAGAATGATCTTTTAAAAATAGAAATCAGGGCACCTGGGTGGCTCAATCAGTTCAGCGTCTGACTCTTGATTTTGGCTTGGTCATGATCTCAGGGTCCTGAGATCTTTGAACCCCAGGTGGGGCTCTGTGCTCAGCAGGGAGTCTGCTTGAGATTCTTTCCCTCTGTCCCTTTCCCCACTTGCTCTCTCCCTCTCTTTCTAAATAAATAATCTTAAAAAAAATAAAAATAGAGATCAAGTTATATTTTATATATAGTTTAAAACATATAAAAGAGCTCTATACATTGTTTAGATGAGTCCAAGGAGTAAAGGGAAAAAGAGTGCAGAGGAATGATGAACACCTCACTCATGGGAGTGGTTATGTCTGGGGGGGGGGCGGTTATAATGAGGGAGTAACACACATACCAACTATACCAGTAATGTTTTGTTTCTAATTTTGATGGTTGATACAGTCTTGTTATTCTCTGTATAGCTTTCTGTTAGTCTGAAATATATTTTTAATGTCTTTTGGAAATACATATAGAAAACAAACAATCCTAAGTATAGAGTTTGATAAATTTCCATAAAGCAAACACTTTGATGTAATCTGCCACTAGATCAAGAAACTGAATATTACCAACCTCCCAGAGGTCCCCTTCTGCCCCTTTCTAGTTTCTGATACTCCAAGGATAACTTATCCTGACTTTTTGCATCATGAATTAGTTTCACTTGGTTAGAACCTCACATAAATGTAACAGTATAGTATGTAATCTTAATTCTGGCCTCTTTTTGCTCAATATAATATCTCTGTGATTGACCCATAGTTTATAGTCCGTTGGTATTTTATTTTGTTTTATTTTATTTATTTATTTTTTGGGTAATACTCCATTCAATTTGTTTATCAGTTCATCTGTAGATGGACATTTGAATTGTTTCCAGTTTCTGAATACCACTAATAGTGCTGCTGTAAGCATTTATTTGTATACTATTCATTTTGGGGACATGTTTTCGTTTGTTTTGGGTAAGTACAATACCGTATAGTAAGGTTCCTTATTGTATTTTAATTCTCTTTACCCCCGTACATCTTTGTGTTACTGTTGTCATGCATTTAATCTACATATTTAGAAAATCTAGAGGTGCCTGGGTGGCTCAGTGGGTTAAAGCCTCTGCCTTTGGCTCAGGTCATGATCCCAGGGTCCTGGGATCAAGCCCCGCATGCACTGGGCTCTCTGCTCAGCAGGGAACCTGCTCCCCCTTCTCTCTGCCTGCCTTTCTGCCTACTTGTGATCTCTGTCAAATAAATAAATGAAATCTTAAAAAAAAAAAAGAAAATCTATCAGATATTATTCTTGTTATTTTAGACAGTCAGTATTCATTCTTATTTCCCCACATGTTTACCTTTTTATTGCTCTTTATTTTTTTCCTACATTACCATGTTTTCATCTGGGATTATTTTCTTCTGCCCAGTTAAACTTTCATTAACATTTTTTTTTAAAGTGAGGGTTTGTTAGTAACAATTACTGTCAATTTGTGTTTATCTGAAACTGTCTTAATTTTGCCATCATTTTTGAGTGACATTTTCTCTGAGTATGTAATTCTATGTTTGAGGGATTTTCAGCACTCTAAAACATTCTTCCATTGTCTTCATGTTTCTGTCATTTCTGAAGAAAAATCAGCCATTCACCAACATTATTATTATGCTGTTGAAGATAATGTGTGTTTTTTTCTTCTGGTTGCTTTTAGGATTTTCTCTTTGTCTTTGGTTTTTATCAGTTTTTCTAAGATGTCCCCAGGTGTGGTGTTATTGATTATTTTTTACTGTTTATTTGCTGTCAACCCTAATGGGATTCTTAATTTTTTTACTTGTGCATTGATGTCTCTGATCAGTTTGCTGTTATCTCTTTAAATAATTTTACTGTCCCATTCTTTCTCTCTTCTGTGTCTTAAATTTATATAATTTAGAACTTTTACTCTGTCACACATGTCTCTTACACTCTTTATTTTCCATTTTATGCTGTGATTCAGTTTTGAAAAATTTTTGACCTGCCTTCCA